TCGATATTTGTCGATAGTGAACCCTAATGTTTCCTGAACAGCCACAAAATGTCTAAAACCCTTTATTTCTATGTGAGCAGCCACTTGAAGCGCAAACTATTTGGGGTGGGCCTTAGCGATCACATGCGATCACATAATTAGTTCATATATTTGTACAACATAAGGGTGCCTCCCAACAAAGCAAATTGGCGCTCATTTGCGATTCATCTAAGATGAATTGCAGCTTTCATCTATCAAGTTCTGTTGGAGGGTTGACATCTAATAGTTTCCGGCGCATGAAGAGCAACCTGGCACCATTCCGGCCTAGCGCTTGCTGCTGGGCGCTACTGCGGTAGTGCTGCGCCACTGCCCGCAGAGCGCTCACTAAGGCGTGCTCATCCTGATCCATGAGCATCTCCCGAAACCAGGGCCTTTCAGGTTCACTTTTGTGCGATGGTCTTCCCAAAAAAAAAGAAATAACAAGCGTGAGAGGCGTGTCCTTCATGTTGGATGTATATACTTGGGAGGAACCTAATTATATCTCCTGCATGCGATTTCAAACATGTTCAGTAGCAAGTACAAGCTTGTCTAAAGACTCTTTTCAGCCAATGCCGGGCCAGGAGGCAATTCTTTGGATTGCAGTCTATTCTGTTCAAAACATTCCTCGTGAGACCGTCTTGATGGATTGGCAGGAATGTGAACTCTACCCCACTCGCGTCCAAATGAAGAAACAGATGGAACGAAGACACATACACAAGCAATCAAAGTTAAGCTGTCATCAAAGAAATCAAACTTAGACTGAGCTGCTTCACGGTCACCCATGTCTCAGCTGTTGGTGTTTGAGGCTTCTGTTTTTTGTGCAAATGCTCCGAGCTCCCAGCGCGAAGTTCTCCACGGAGCCGCCAGCCGCAATCCACCTCTCCAGCTTTCCATACTCCAACTGCCGCACCGAGGCCTTGGATCGAAGATGGATCTCTGAGAACTCGCCCCGTTCGTAGCTTCTTGTTCCTATTAACGATGCCAGGAGCCCCTGGCGTCCTTGCTCCTAGTAAGGCCAGGAGCCTAGTAGCTTCTTGTTCCTAGTAGCGTCCTCTACCCCCCCTGTGTCTCTCAGAATGAATCTGGTAGATTTGGGGGCGTGCCTCCCAAGGTTCTTCATTGACATGTTTTGGGGCGCCAGGGTTTCAAACGTGCCTGGTAGATTTGGGGGGCCGTGCCAGGTCAAAATACATAAACCCACAGGTGCCCAAACAGCCCGCCTGAAACCCGAAACGTGTCGCTCACAGGCAAGCACCCAGACAGGTCCAAAAGAATCCCGACAGAGGTGCCCAAACAACCCTGCTGCCAGGCAAGCACCCAAATGAGTCCAAAACAAACCCCACAGAGGTTTAAACCCTATACCCCGGAAACAGCTCTAAAACAAAAAAGAACCTGCCGGGTGCAAAAAAAAAGAAACAGCCCGAATGAATCTGTCAAACATAAAATTCCGGCAAGGAAAGGTAAACACCCTAGCCCTAGGTGAACAGCAGGTCAGCAGTTGCTCCACCAAATTTCGTCACTGAAAATTTTGCATGATAGCGTTTTGGGCTTCCTCCTCATCATCCTATCCCTATCCCGCAAAATGTCCGTACTACTACTCCAGCCTAGATGACTCCTAGATGCAAACTACTTAGTCATTCTTGGTGTAACAGTTTTATTAAAGTCTCATCGTCCCCTCTGATTGTAGAAGCGTTGCAATCCACAAGAATGAATGCTCATTCATCCCTTGCACGCCAAGTAGTCTCTCTCACAAGGCATTTTTGTTTTGGTGTGGATCATCGGCTAACTACGCTGCATAGGATCGCAAACAATCAGGGTGTGGCGGAACTTGAGAATCATCGTGCCCTTTCACAGGAATGTTACATGTTATTTCCCCAAGCCATATTTGTCGTAAGGGAGGTTGGTGGTGCTGGTACATCTTTTGAACTTGAGAGTGGGCTTTGTGGGGTTCCCTCCCACCATGCAGATCTCCAAAAAAACTCCACGAGACAAGCGCGCAAAATCTGTAATCGGCTGTGTGAGGCATCAGCTGTGTGAGGCCTTCAAGAGGCCTTCAAGAGGCAAAAGCGACTTTGAATATGCTGCAGCTGCATATGTTTTTTTGCTACTAGTAACAAGTGCATCGCTACTAGTAACAAGTGCCTTACTTTACTAGTAGTAACAATAAGCTAGTAGAAACAAGAAGCTTGTAATTAGTGCTCCAAACAAAAATGGACTTCGGCCTTCGGCCCCCCCGACTTGAGAAGATACGAAAGCATCCTCACGTGGCTCAGAAATGCCACTCCTGGATGGACGGCTCATCGGTTGGGGGGGTGGTGCTGAAACGAGCAGAAGATTTGACTATTCGGCCATCAGCCCCTGCAAGCTGTTCTTCAACTTCGGTGCTTCAACTCAAGTCCTACAAGACAGAGAAGCCAAGTCGCAAGCCGTGCATTCAAGAAAAATAGAACCATGCAAATGCAACCAGGCAATCAGGCTGGTGCAGCTCGTCTGATTGAGGAATGATACCAGGACATTTAAGTTCGGAGAGGTACTTTGATCTAGTCATCAGGCAGAGGAAGCTTTCCAAACAGTTAGGATGTATATAGGTCCGAGGTCCTGTTCAAAAACCAAAAGTATCTCAAAAAACAATGCCAGCTTCACATCGGGATTAACTTATGCTATTCTCTTAGAGTTTGCTGCACATACTTGCTGCACATACTTCCAAATAAACGCATGGCTCAGGCTTTCTAAGCTCCAGACAGCACATCATCGTGCAGGGATGGAGAGCCCTGGCAGTTGAGTATTGGGGTATTGAGGTCCCATATCCCACCATAACCTGGTGCCTTGCAAAGCAGGTTTTTGAAAGGCACGTCTTGATGCCGATTTAGAAGGTTTGTGGTGTCGCTCGTGTGCAATACCAAGTGTTCTGCGTCACGGTTTCAGGTGAGTCTCCAACAAAATGTTCATCTTCATGCAAACAGTGGGGATTCGGATCATGGTACTCGTTTCTCACGAGTTGCAGGATCCAAATAAAGCCCCTGCTGAGCGGAAAGTTGTCTTGGCCTTGACTGAAAATGACTTCATTCCTTCATCCAAACCCTGCTGTTGTCAGGAGTGCCAGCCTCAGGAGAAGCGAAAAGTTCCACTGGCCTGGCCATTCTTGTGTGCACAATCCTCTGACAACCGCAGTAACTGACAACTTGGCAAGTCAACTTGCACAACTCGCATGAGAAGGTAGTTTAAATGCAAACATCATGAACACATAACCAGAAATTGCGATCTGGACACTGGCAGGTTGTCAATGACTGCATGTGTCTTTGGAAAAGCATATCGGTTTAACGTGTATTCAGTGAGATGGTACGAGATCTCAAAATGGAGTCTCATTCTCTTCGCCTTCCAGTGAGCTTGAGGGGAGTAGATATGGCAACATGAGAGTTAAACCATCCACATCAACCATCACTGGGATGCTCAGCTTACCGACCCGCTCACTGGGATGACCCAACCCCCGAATACCCTTTCTTTGTCACCTGAAGGCCGACGGGCTTGGACTTGCCGACGCTCCCCTGACAAGAAGGAACTGGTCTGAGATGTGTCACTGAGAAATCCGTTCTGCTTCCAAAAAGAAGGAGCGTTTTCTAGTATAAGTATATAAGTACTGCATAGGGGTTGCATATGTCTCATCTTTTTCGGTGTAGGTAAACCCAGTAAACAATCCGATTATACGGCTGGGTCGAGGCAAAAAGTCGGAAACATGCAGCATGGACACATTATCTTTCTGGATGGTTGCTTAGTGAAGGGAACTTCTTAAAGGTTACCTGCAGATTGACTGCTGATTGTGCTCCATCCACAAGTATCTGACTATCTGTGATCCGACATGAAGAAGTGGGCCTCACCAAGTTCGTGCTCATGCACTGCAAAAACAAATGTCTCAAAGACAAATCACACCCAACCCCATGAGAGGGAACTCCTGGAGTTTGGGCCGACCTCGGACCCCACGAACGGACCTGAGCTGCAAGGGAGACGCTGCGACTTCGGCTGTCCATCGGGCAAAGTCTTGGCTGAAGTCAATCTCCATGGCCTGGCGACAATCATGGTGGTTTAGAAGGGATAAATCGGGATAAACAAAAACATGATAAGATCTCTGTGAAAAGTGGGAGGGGAGGCAGGGGAAGGGGGAAGGCTTTTGGACAAACGGATGTGATTATGGCAATCAAAGTAAGTCCACACATGCATATCCACTATGTCACAGGCAAACCTTGCAAACACGGCGTTACAGGCCACTATAAACTTGGTGACTCCCAGGTCAGCTTGAGGAACCTCTCAAAATCGGGGTGCATTTCCCACAAGAATTGATGCTGAACAAATGTGTCAATCTGCAAGAAGCTCAATGTTCACTATGTCTTGGATCATTCAATAGCAGAAGTGTCATGCCACTTGCGGTAGGTGCCTGGGACCGGAAAGGACATCCTTACTTCCTTTCATCAATTGAATGATGCAAGTAGCCCCTCTATATAATTGTTTATATAGATAACCCTGAACCTCCTTCTGTGGAGGCCATCCACTTGCCTTCAGCCATCCATGTCAGATTGTTGGAGACAGACCAAAAAAACTGGGAGTGTCTGCTGTGCTGAAGAGCGAGTCAAGTAGCATGTCGTGTAGCATGATCTTGGCTCCAGAGTTTACCTGACGACTGCCATGGCTTGAAGATTGAAGCATTGCCGCTCTTCATGTTGAGCGTCCTAAGCTGAAAGGTGATGCACCAGCAGGCCAAAACCTCAATCTTCACGCAAATCCCCAAACCAAAGCAGTGTAACTTCCAACATACAGTTTCGTAACAACTTACAACGGCACATAAATAAGGTTGTCCTATTTTCTATATAGTGTGTGTGTATATAATATGCTGTACTTAGATCAACATCCCATTGTACAATTACCGTGTAATCCAAGTAAATAGTCGTGGCGCACACAAGTTCTGTGTCAATCCTGTGCTCCAGGTGTTCCTGACACCTTTCCTTCCGACATAACGAGCTCATCATCCGAATCTGCTCAGAGAGAGAGAGCTGCTTTGGCTCACTTGATTCTGAACATGATGCATCCCTTGATTCTGACTGCCCCATGGGCCCTTTTTGGGCTCACCATGGGAATCTGTAAAAGAAAACCTCAGACCACCATACTCCGGTCGAATTTTGTTTGTTGGGTGCAATTCGTAGCTAGTCGGTCTCTGACAGCTCCTGGTGCGCTCGAATATGGGGTGCTTGGAGGCTCAGCTCGGCAAGTTGCTCGATCAACTCCTCTGGTGCATCGCCTTCATCAACACGTCACAGCGACAACAGAATGAGGTTAAGACATGTTAAGACCAATAAAAGGAAAGTAGGATATGATGTTCACAGGGCCAGACACCAAGCATTTATCAAAGTCAAAGCCAGGTGTTTCACATCTTTGGCAAACGCACTCGGCAAGCACCCAAAACACAATCAAGAGCTAAATATATTTGTGGGCATATGTTAGTCTAGTTTCGGAGCGGACACCGTTGAGACTAACCTAGACGAAATTCTGATGTGCCATGGTGGGCCATGGTCTATGTTAGCCTCCACTGGGCTATGTTGACCTCTACCGGCGCGGTCTATGTTAGCCTGCGTTCAGTTTATAGTCAGATTGCAGTTGGTCCATGTTAGTGTCAGAATCGATCATAGACTGAGAGTGGGAACGGTCCATGTTAGTGAGTGTCCAGAAATTGGCCAAAAAAAGCGCTAATACCGTTTCCCCAGGAAGTCACCGTTTCCAGTAGTCCATGTTAAAGCGCACTTGCATTTGAGTTCTGGTCTATGTTGTTTTTCCTCGGAGTAGCTAGATCATTTTTTTGGCTGGACATACCCTTCGGTGTTCGGCGTATCTGAAACTATATGGACCACCAACGGTCACCGCCTAAAAGACACCGTGTCATGAACAAACGCTGGTCCAGTCGGGGAAAAAGCTCAAACTAAGTCTAGAAGTGCTTGTTCACAGCATTTTCGGCTCCCAATCCTGCCTTCATCCAAGGGCACTTTCTCTCCAAACAACCCTCCATGCATGGCAAGACGCAAAAGCACTTTTGCCCGACCATGAAACCCATCGAACAGCAAAGGCCGGTGTCCATCGTCGTCTCGTCCCAACAGGATCGGGGTCAAATACTGGTATGCTAGCCATGGTAATGCCAGGGAAAGGAATGAAAGCAGCCACACTGTAAAATTGGCATGACTGATGAGCACGGCAGTGCACAGCATGATCCAAGGAACGAACAAAAACACGATCACCACATACCCTAAACCAGCCTCGGCTAATAACTGATGTCCAAAGGCTTTGAGAAATATCGGGTAGTTCGCGCTGCTGACTCCAGACACTAGTAAGTGCAGAACATGCGATAGGCCAAAATGACAAATCATCATGCCGCTGAGGGCAGCGCTGAACATCAGAAATGCAAATTTTAACTTGTCCAACGGCCAGCCATCTGCATCCCAACCAATGCCTGCACAAACGCCTGTAGCTGTAGGAAGAACACCAGACAAGAGCAGCAAAGTCATGAGGTTGTAAGAATCCAGCTGCATGCAAAAAATGTCCTTGTATTCTTCTGGTTGCTTTCCGGAACTCATGAGGTGCTCGAACCAAACCTTGGAATTATACCGGGCATAAGCAAACAGCATGAACCCACATGTACATGCACACAAGGCGAGGTTCTGACTAAAGTGACGATTAAAAATAAACAATGACAAAGGCACAAAAGCACAAAGCTTTCCAGCAACACCACAAAAACATAAAAGCTTTCCAGCTGTCGATGCAGGAGGCCTTCTTGTGATCACACCAAACCACCCCGTCCAGCTTCGCCACCACCCGGGAAAACCTCGCCAGTGCGCTGGCAGAACGGGGGACTGGCAGAGCTGGACGCACCACTGGCGCTGGTGCCACATGAGGATTCGAAGGCGAAGTGGCATTCAGCGAAGAGACTAAACCTCATCTATGTGATTTTCAGGGAGCCCCAAAAAAGAAATCAAAAAAAATTAACTTTGGGGCTGTTGGAAGAACAACTGGAAAAGCAAGAGCAGAAGAGAACAATCGTCGGCAAGGAAGGCACTTCTTCACTCCATCTGAATTTGCGGGGAGGATCTCTGGTCAAAAGGAAAACCTGAAATGATATAAGGGGGGGAAAAAGTCTGGTCCATCTTGAAACCAGCCGCTGAGAATTCGAGCACGCTCCACGGCAGAAGCGATTCCCAGCTCTCTCCAACCTTCAGGTCCGCTAACAAACTGAGGGCTGAGTCACAAACTGCTTGACATTTGCATGCGATCCGGCCTTCTTCGCCCAAAAACAGAAGCATGATCCCAGTCACTCGTCTGGCCCAAGCAGCTGCAGCCACCTGTAGTGGCGATTTCTAGAATTGGCCAGCTTACGAAGGTCTCAAGTACATCAGCTGCTTAGCTCTATCCATCAAGCCGCACAATCTCTTTTCGCACCTCTGGAAACCCGACGCTCGTCAGCCACGTCTTGACCTCCTGCGGTGACCTGTGCGAACTTTGTGGAGTCACCGGTTGTTACGGTTGTTACCTTTAGCACCGGTAAGGACGGGTAATGTGGAGTCAGCACCCAGGGTTGCTGATTTTATTACTTTGTGGAGTCAGCCAAGGTCTGTAGGTGGACGAATTGTTCAAACCTGGCCTTCATCGCCCGCCCCTCTTGCACCGTCAATTTCTGTGGGCTCGGGGTGGGGTCAAGCGGACAAAATAAATCAGCCCTGCGAGAACGACCATCAAAGAATGCCATCGCAACATTGAAATTAAGCGCGAGGCCACTGGATAGAGAGCATCTTGCTGGGTTTGAGTGCTTTGTCCATCTACTGTAACAATGTTGGCACCTGATCAAAACCCAGCTTTGAAGAATCTGGTTGATCTATCTACTCTAATTGTAGAAGTCCTTTAAGGTGCTTTCTTTCGGCAACAAGAAACCTGTGACAAACCCGTGACCATTGCAATTTGAGTGAAGTCTTTCATGAAGGTTCCTCTACAAGTAGCCTTTATCAAGATCTTCACTTGCCGTCCTAGATCTCCAGACTACGCCTTGCACTCGCAAGACTTTCCCCCCATTCTTGGTAAAGTCCTCCCTGTTATTGTCATGGGAGCAAAACGTGGAATCTCTGTGGCCTGCAAACACTGAGAGGTTGTCACTGGGTGTTCAGGGCTACCAGTGGAATGAAGTCGTGTCTCTGAAATCATTGGGCACAAAATACAATGTGTGTTCGCTGTTAGCTCAAGTCAGCCAACATGTGCCACTTGTGTCAGCTGCAATGTTCACATGAAATAGCGAATGTGTGGTTCATGCGGACGCTGTTTCAACGCCGGCTTGAGTTGTCGAAATCTGTCACTCGCGTCAGTCGCCTCCTTGGTGCTGAGTGCGATGCCTTGATAGCTACTGTTCCTGTTTGAGTAGCCAACATTGCCCCTCCCCTGTAGTAAATCCAGTCTCCACCGTTGCCCGAAGAAGCTTTTGCCAAGAAGCCACTCGGCGGAGGCAAAGCAAACGGGCGGCGAGGCAAACCCATTGCCGCGGCTCGGCAACATCTTGGAAACAACAAGGTCGACTGTCTGACTAGCTCTAGCTGCAACAAGCTGACTGAACATGTGGTCTAAAGGAGCAAGTTAAGACAGGAAATGAAAGGACTGGGTGACTGGAACACAAAACTCAGTCGCTCTATCATGGGATCTTTTCAAGATTCAGCGGCACCTGAGCACAAGAGAGGAGCCCGGTGAATTATATCAATTGGAAGTAAAAGGAAAAAACAGGCCAACCCGCGATGAATTTTGATGCCCGCTTGTTTGATCTCGTGGTGCTGAAATTAGCATATACTGTACTTGGTATCAAAACAAAAGACCTAACCTCAAGAACCTGTGGATCTCTTGACTTGTAATTCAACCAAAAGTTGCACAAAACCATACAGCGCTTAGTATTAGTAATCACACTTTGTGTTACCTTTCTTTATTCGTACCTACATGTTTGTCATTGTTTACCAATGGTTGCACAGTCACACTAACCAAAGAGCCAGGGAGGGGGAGGGAGAGAAGGGGAGAGATAAATGGATTAGATCTCACTATGTACAGTATAATATACAGTCTTGCATACTTCGGCCCTCTTCTTTTTTTAATGCCATCTTCCTGTTGGCACGGCCGCAAAGCCCTTGATGTTCTTGCTTCGACGCTGTACATCGTACACTATCTGTACTTGTCCATGATGGGCAGGCAAAAGTCCAGCCGTGAATGGCCATGCTCAGTAGAAGAACATCCAGCAGTTGTCCAAGGATTCAGGATTGAAGCAAAAGTGTCTGTCCCCAGCCAGTTCTGCAGGTCACTTTGATGAAACTGTGCCTGCTTTGCCACTGTATTGGTACTGCAATGGCCTCACTTGAGAAGCGGAGGCGGTGCCAATATTGGTACTGGGCAGCATGGAATCCACAAAAAAAAATCCAAAGCGCGTTCAAAAGCTCCATCAGCAAGTTGCTCGGATCTGAAATAGCAGGTCCAGCTCAACTCATCTTCAGGCGACTGCGAGCTTCAGCATGCTCACGATTCCGCCTGTGTTTGCATCAATCGGTTTCACCGTTTTTACCCCCCTGCACTATGGTCAAACAGATCCTCTAGCAACTGCCCATTTATAGGAATGCCTCACTCAAGCTAGCTATAGGTGGTCCAGAGCCAACATGACCCAACCGGTCAATACTCAAAATACATATGTTTATGATCTTGGAATATTTATGACTGCATCCAATCCTGTCGGTTCTCAAGTGTGAATGGAGCGCTTCCCCCCATTTCAAGTTGCTTGGTTCACTGGCGATCGGCCTCTGCACTTTCTCAAGCCACGTCTCCTCCCGCTCCATCTTCAACATTATCAGAACATCACCATCTGCAGAACCAGAACGTACCGTGAACAGCGGCTTCAAGCAAGAGAAAGAAGTGTGTCAAATTCGACGCTCTGAAGGTGCAAAAATACATACAGAATGGTCTGTCAATGAACAATGGAGGATAAGCTTTCTTATGCAGCGGCATACTCAGCATGAACTCTCTAACATCATCTGACATCTGCATGTTGACTCCTCGTCACCTGTTCAAACTTCAACTACACATGCACTGCCATCCATTCAGCAAGAATTTAACGCCTCCGACCTTTCAGAACTCTATGCTTTCCGTATGGATGTTTGATTCGTTTGAACACGCTGAGATGTGCAGCGCATCCCAATCCCTGTAATCTTGTGTGAGCTGCGTGAGCTGCAATCTTGCAGGATCTCGTGCCTTTCAGCTTCCTCAACGCCTCTGTCACATCCTCATCTAGGAGGCAGGGGAGCTCATATCCAGCATCCGCAACCTGTCTGGAAAATCGCGAGGCCTCACTGCCCGACCTTTATTTTGTATCACGCGAGAAAAGCATATACTAGTTCTTTGTTGTATTGATTGCTGTATTATTGCGAATGTGCATGTACACCCGAGCCAATGACCACGGTCGCTAGGGTCACTCAAAGTGTCCTGACCCTACCGACCCACACGTGTTGCAAAGAGCAGTTCTTCCAGTGGTCAAGAGTCCTGTCATGCCTTCCAGTTCACCAGACCACTTTGAGATCGCACCTGTTGCATGTAGCTCTCCAAGGAAATGGTTATGCCTAAGCCAAGCAGTTGTGTGCTTGGGGTGAGACCCAAAGAAGCGTCAGCCCTGCAAGAACTGCACAGGGCAACTGAAGCAAGAAAGACGCTATGCTCGGTGGAGGCCATCGCAAGTAGGTTGAAGGCCATCGCTACGAACGTAACAAGAAGCTACTATAAAAATTGAACACATCCTCTACTTGCCGGGGCTAATGCTTGACGTTTGGTCAATAGCTACGATTTCGCAATGTCTAGAGTCTAATTGCGCTTTCGTGTGCAGGACCCTGGGCTAGAGGCTAGCAACATCTTTTCTAATCAGTCGTCTACTCGCATGAACAACGTAACCGTATATACATATATTTAATTATATTTGTATTTTTGATGTGTAAAAGGCACCAAAAAAAAACCATCAACACCTTGCAGAACAACAGCCTTCCACCTGCCTTCGGCCTCCCTCAGCCTGCCTTCCACCTCTGACCTCCAAGCTGCGGTCCGGATCATGAGCCAAGCTGTGGAAGGGGTTGAAGTCGTGGCCTCTGAGTCTTTTCGACACAGTCCGACACAGTCGCAAATCAGTGCTAGCTGCTAAGCAGTCCCCCTTTCACCATGCATGGGATACAGGCGCTTTTTCTTGTGGGCCAACATGGGCCAACTATCGCGTCATTCTTGTGTGTGTGTGTTTAGATATGTCCATGTGTCTCTACATCCTCATGTCCACCGTTTGGTGGTATGTTGAGAAGTCGAAGCGCTTCACGGGGGGGCACATCCTCATCTTAAACGCATCATCCTTCTGCTCGAGCTCTGGGTTTCAGTGCTCCAAACCCGCGTGGTGCTGCGCCAGTCTGGCCCTGCGCGTGGGATTTGAATGGATCCCATGGGACCTATACAGTCTTAAATAGCATACTGCTTGTGAGACATAAGTCACTGTTCAAAAGACCGCTAGGGAATCTTGGGCAGGACTCTGTTCAGACGCCCTTGAGCAGGCTTTCAGGCCCTTGAACTTTGATGCAACAAAGATGGCTGAAGGGATCTTTCAAGGCCCAAGCCATACAAGCGCGCCAAAAAGTCTCCAGGCTCCCTTGGCACTGGGGCCTCTGCGTCCACGTGAGAAACAGACTGCGGGCTCGGTCTGTCTGTCTGAAGCAATGTTTGCTTCAAATGGCTGTCTGTCTGAAGTATCCAAAGAGACAAAACAATCATGCTGTCTGTCTTCAATTACGACGGCTTAAGGTCCTCGCAGCTCTCACTATCCCTGTGCAGCTTCTTGGTTTGGGTTGTGTGTGTAGCAAATGAGCAGCTCGGAAAAGCTACCAAATCCAAACACGCTCACTTACATTATCTGCTCGGTGGTCTGACACAGTAGTCGTCAAAACGTCCTCTTGCTGCACACAAATGAACCCATTCACGCAGCATATCTGATCCTGCCTTCAAGCCGTGGAATTCCACCGAGCCTGGGGCACTGAGGTATGCGTCAATGGGTGTCTCTGTCTCTCTCTCTCTCTCCCTCCCTCCCTCCCTGGCTCCCTTGCTCCCCATCCCCTTCTCATATCTCTATACAAATACTACAGGCAGCTGCAGCTGAGTCCTGTGATTGGCATCATCCTATACTGTACATGAACAGCTTTTTGTCACCTCCGCTTCCCCCCGGCGACCGGCTCAGAAAATCCCATTTGTTCCAACAGCCAGTGGCTCAAAGGGAAAACCTCCTCAGCGCCCGGGAAGTCCTTCTCGGGCATCAAAGGCTCCTGGAGAACATGGACTGATGGACCCAGTTAGCTTGTAAGTTGTCTGACGCAACACCTCAACATGAAGCCCAAACACATGATGAACCACCTACGCCTACACTGCGAATGACTGGTGACCGGTGATAGTGGTGACTGATCATGACTGTACATCCAGGTACTGCAGCGCAAGTAGGTTGTGCAGGACGAAATAGAAACCAAAAAGTATTCAATGCTCGACGCTATCTATATATTTCAATTGTATTGTTTCATTCACACACAGTGCATTTCATGTATCTCTCTGAGTCATATCTCTCTTGCATTTGGGCCGCCATTTGAAGTGTTTGACCAAAGCTCCTTTGAGTGATGTTGTGAAGCCCAACCAGCCAGGCAAAAAGGAGGGAAGATGCATCTCAAAGTGTACAATGGGAACATGAACAAACTACAAAGCGGATTGAACAGTGATTCGACCGGAGGGCCCGCACGAATTTCCTTTTGGGCCAAACGTGCCGCCGCGTGCCGCCCGGACGGAAGATCCACTAGTCACAGAGTCACTAGTGCAGGTCTGACTCCAAGCGGTCTGACTCCGGGAGTGACCATGTTCAGGCAGAAGTGGGTCTAGGAAATCGGTCTAGACGAGGGGGGCAGGCGCTTCATGGAGCACCAATCAATGACTACTAGTGTCTGAGACTGCCACGAACCCCCAGGGCCTGCAGGCTGTTCCCCTGCTGCCTTGAAAATGGCCACAGTCGGTGGCATGACTGCACGGAGCCAAGGAGAGTCCAACGGCGCATCTTGCACAAAATTCTATAAACATACCCTCCTACACCTTCTGACACCAAGGAGCAATAGCTCAGTGAGAATGCGTAGTCTATTCATGGCAGCATATGAGCAGCATATGGTTCACGTTGCACGAAGCGGATGCGTTCTGATAAACTCCGTGTTGGAAGGCTGGAGGCCTGAGACCATCATCATGTATCCTACTCCTACAGATGTCCATGCGGCATCTTATCATCTCATTCTCTCAACGAAGATGGAGGAATCCTACACCACTTAAGGTGCAGGATTCACTTGGTCGGCGAACCCCTCAGCTGGTCAAGTTCGCACAGTCACTGCAAAAGTCCACGACGCAGACTTCGCACCGCCACAAATTCGTGAAGGCTTCAAAGTGCCGCTCGCAACCGTCGCACTGCCAGCCTGTGGTCGACATTGCGAGCAGTGTCACCATTTCTTTTTTCATGGATATGTCTCATGATGGAAAGAGACAACGAGGCTCTCTCACACGATCAGATTCAAATTCTGGGGTCACGATCGAGCCTTACTTTTGCCAAGGCGATGCTTTGTGCAAAGGAAGGTCTTGTGCAGAGTAGCAAAGCCGAAAACACAGAAAGCCTGAAACACAATCTTTATGTTGCGTTTGGAACCGGTTTGCTATGGTTTGTTCACTTGTTCCTTTCTGTTTGCCAAAACACGGGCTTTTGTGGAGCAAAGTGGCAGCTTGCACTAGGTTGTCGGTCCGTGAGTCTTTTTGGAGAAGGTTGACACTCCACATTGCTTTCAGAAATGGCAGTTTGAAGAATCTAGGAGTCCCTGCCCCAAATCATCGGAGATATGACTCTGACTCTTGTAAGTTCAACCAACCTTTTTTTGAGCGTTAGACGGCGTTGAAAACTTCCTTGACAAACCCGCCTTGTGTGTACTTCTCTCCCAGGTTCGCGGCAGTTGCACGTTGCATGCGCAGCTGCTCAGAATGCTTGCATTCCAGAGCCTTATAGACCTGCAAGACTATGATAAACTGAACCTATCTCAAATCACTGGCAAATACAGCTTTGATCGAAGTGTGGTGTACCGGAGTGACTTTCTCTGGCACAACTAAATATCGACATGGTTCAAAACAAACTATAACGCGTCGAACCAACAGATCATGACTACGAACATCTCAGTAACCCCAGCAGTTGACCCAGTGTCTCTTTGACGAATTTCCACTGAAACAGACTACTGTGAGTGCCAAGTCTTCCCATGGGTCAATCCCTCTATCCTCCCATGACCATCTAGTAGCTCCACGATCTTAAATATTCCGGCAAGCTGTGTAAAAAAAAGGAGAAAACACATTGATCTAATTATATCTATATAATTGAAGACCTGTCTGGCCGGGAGAAACGCCCGCCTGGGCTGTGCGCCCGAAGAAAGACAGAGCATTGCACTCAGACGACCCTGCAAGATGACGTCGCGACTCCTTGACATTCAAGATGCATTTTGAAGCATTATGAAACCTTGTTGTTCATCGATGTTCACAACAACCGTAAAAAGTATTTGCGGGTGGCTTAAAGCAACGCCTAAAACAAACAAAAATACAGTAGTTCCATGCTTCACTCAACCGTCTATTCAATCTGCATTCCCGTGCAACAGGGAAGAACAGGGCCCACGGGGGTCCTGCTTGAAAACAAACAATGGCTCTCAATCAAAGAAGCTGTTCACGAAAACAGGGAATCGGAGCAGTGACAGTCAACACTTATCAACCGATCCTTGTTCGAGCAAACCAGAAAAAGGCTGCTTCCATGGCTGATATTGGCGTCGCTCAAAGTCTTAAAGTCCTGCGACTGTCTAGCAGAACCAAACCAGAAAGACTAGCCAGCCCGCATCAACATATTGAAAGTAAAACCGCAAGTCATCTAAATCTAAGTTTCCTGAATCAACCAGCCCTTCTTTCAGAGACACCTTACAATGTTTCGACCTTGTTTTGAGTTCAACGAAACCAAGAGAGTACAGATTGAATGTGCTTCTCACAGAACATATTATTGATTGTTTTTTTGGATGATTTTTTCACACTTCACGTTGCTTGATGTGGGAACCCTGTCCATCTCAGGATGCAGGATTTGCTGCCTCACCACGAGCTGACAAGATCGGAAGGGCACGCCAAAAGCATCTGCCACAGCACGCCGAAGGTGTGCCAACAAGGATGTGGAGAAGAAGCCGCTGAGTTCCTCTGAGCAAATCACTTTACTTGGAGTGAACTCCACCCTGAAAGGCGATTTGGAAGACATCAAGTCTGGCTTGCGCCCTGACACATCATCTACCACAAAGGCTGGGAAATGTTTGGGACTGTGTTGACGTCCTTCTTGGCGTGTGTTCTGACACTTTTCTTGCTGCGAAGTCTGACATGTGCTGTGACATACGGTCCGACTTATGTGTTCCGAGACATGTATTTCATCAAAGAAAGTGTCCATCTTGCATATATATATATATATATCCTCGCATTCTATCTTGCAAATTCTGGCATGCCATACGCTCATGCATTCTATCTGGCATGCAACCCTATCTGGCAAACACTCTGGCATACATTATTGGTTCTATCTGGCACAAATTCTGCCATTCAGTTACTCTGGCATTCTATCTGGCATACATGCTGACATTCTTACCTATCTGTTATATACTGGCACTCTCCTGGCAAGTTACAATTTGACACTCTATCTGGCAAATGCCCTGCCACTATATCTGCCATGTACAGGCATTCTACTTGGCATCTGTTCTGGCATTCAATGGCATTCTGGCATTCTATTTGGGATGTGTTCTGGCATGCTTCCCTGGCAGTCTATCTGGCATATATTCTGTATTACTCTGGCAAAATTGCTGTCATTCTATCTGGCATACATTCTGGCATTCTGTCTTGCATACACTGATATATATTCTGGTGTTGCACCTGGCATATACTCTGGCTTCTATCTGGCACTTAGTCCGGCAATATCTTGCATATATTCTGGCATCCTATTTGGCATAGTTGTTGGCATTGTATCTGTCATATGATCTGGCAGGGCAGTCTATCTGGGCAGGGCCGGCAGTGCCCACTATGATCGAGCACTGGCGGTTGAGGCCCCAGTGCCCACTGCGATCCAGCACTTGCAGTTAAGGTCCGGTGGAGGAGCAGGAGGAGAAGGAGGAGGAGATCTCTGATAAAATCTAGCAGCTGGCAAGTGGGGAAATATAATAGAAACGGAAGGTGAGGACCCCTTATTGAGTAAGACCATTTTCAAAAGGGCCTTGTTGAACAAACCCTTGCCCTCCTGGTGTTCCTTTGATCTGTGTTGTATGAACTTTCGAGAGGTCTATGAGTATATGACAAGATTCTGGCGTAAAGGGTAATGCTTTGATGATTTAAGAAGATGCTGCCAAAGGTCTTGAGGGTATCATGATCTTCTTCAGAACAACTTTATAGTTGGAACACCGCCCATAACGGGCCGTGGTACTTTGTGCCATTTTTGGACACTGTCATCGATTTCGCAACAATTTCAGGGACGCAATTGGTAGGCTCATGACGGTGGGTATCTAAAGTCTTCTGTTGTTCTGTTGTGAAGACGGATTATCTTCGCGTCATGTCTACGTAACTGGAAGACATCGTTGTCTACGATGCGTGAAGAAAGTGTAGTGTAGTTGATGCACCTTAAAAGGAAGAATCTGTGCGCCATGGTCCCTACGGGGTGGGGGGTGGGGTGGGGATGGGCTGGGGTGCAATAACGCTCGGTATCTAATTAATGTCTTCTGTTGTTAAAAGACGGATGATCTTCGCGTCATGTCTATGTAAATTGAAGACATCGTTGTCTACGATGCATGAGGAAAGTGTAGCTGATGCACGTAAGAAGAATGAAATGGATCTTGTGTGGCAATAGATCTCAAACAAACAATGGATTTCATAAACCTAAAAGCTTCCAAAACCTCGATAGTTGGGGGCAACTTAAATTGACTGTTGAAGTGTCAATTCTACTGGGAAGTGCACAGGAGAATTGTTCCCCAATTTAAATACGCCATTAATTCAATCCGTTAAAACGATGAACGAACCTTCCCCAAGCTAATTACGCGCATTCAATTCATTTTCCTGATCAGAATTGCCGTTTCGTACCACGGCCCCTTATGGGCGGTGAACGTAGTAGTTAGTAATACTGTAATTTAAATTGGATGATTTGATCTGATAGAACTTGACGTGCCCAACTTGATGCTTCCTTACATCTATGGTGTCCCACCACACCTTGGTCTGGCCCGACATCGAGCTCACTGTCACTGCCATCGGCCCACGCCGCTGACTCCGCCAAGCTTTCGCGACGGCCTCGCGCTGGTGGTGCACCAGGTAGTGGCGCACATGATCCTGGCTGAGGTCTTGTACAATGTCTCAGGCTGGAGTTACCACACGCTTCAGTCCAAACGGAAAGCGGTCGAACTCGGTTGGGAGGTCGTTGGATGCTTATGAACTTGTGAGAGTTTGACAGACCATGTTCAGCATCTGAGCTACTGTCTACCAAAGCTTAACATCTGGCAATGTTCAAACAATTAGAACATTTCGAATCATACAGATTAACCATGTCGGTCTGGCTGCAAAATATCACCTATCAAAAGTCCAAGTGACTAGTAGCATTCACCAGCATAGACCGATGAATCTGACCTGCAATGGGGTGCCATTTGATCCTTTGAGCCTTCTGAGCCTTCGACTGACACCAATGATGCATGACCTCGGGTCACCGGGTCCTGGTCACTGCTGCGCAGTTGGCGCCAAGCAATCTGCGCAAAGATCGCCCAGGGCAACGGCAGCAAAACCATGCCAAGGAAACACATCAAATAGAAGGCAAAGCGGCCGGACTCGGGGTGCCTAGGCATCTTGGAACAATAGTTCTTCTGTGTTCTTGACTCACGCGAACGTAAGGGCTGCAGAAAGCATCTAATGAACATTATGCAAGTATATACTTGATTTGTCTTGATTTGTCACATCCACCCACAGCAGGGTCATTGAGGAATCACTCGGCTGTCTCCTATGTTTGGGGGTTTTGCCAAACCTGACTCAAACCTCAAGACTCAACACAATTCTCAGGATCTATGCATGCTGCAGTTCAGGCACAGAATGTAGACCAAAGGAAGATCATGTAAGGCTTTGACCTGCTCTACCACAGCACACGGCACACAGTGATCTCCTTCAACCCGGTAGCCCACTGGACAACAACAGCCTCCTCCACGGCAAGGTTCATAGCCCAATGACTGGCATTTCGAGGATAAATAGCCCGGCAAGTGCTGCTGGCTGCAGCGCAAGAGCTGTTTGGGGAACTGCTGTAAAATCACTTCATCAATGGCCCTCTGATAGTCTTTGCGGGTGCCCAGCCACCACCAGAAATGCCCGGTGCCACTGATCACTCCCTTCGAGGTCATGACATTGCGTGGAGGGAAGCCTGTCTGTACTGCCCAAGCCACAGGCCGGCGATCAGTGCTTTCGTTCATGGAGAGATACCTTGGTGCATCGGTGGTCTGAGACTGCTTGGAAATGACATCAATATCTCAAGATAGCCTAAGGCCTAAGCCAATAGGTCCAATAGGTTGAATATGAATAAGCCGCATGAATAAGCGATCAGCTTCATGCCAGCTTCTGCCTAACGGTTTAAAGATGAACTCAGATGCAATGGCGCAGCATAGAGGCAGGTGATGGAACAGGAGCCACTGCCGATATCCCCCCCAGTCATCGAACTCCCACAAGGGGACCGAGAGCCTTGGAAGCCTAGCAGAGGGGTAGGATGCCGTGACGGTGTCCAATGGTGCTATACCATGGTGAACCAATAAGTGCTTGAACCGAGTTCATGATCTCTGCAGCAAAAGAACGAACACATCCAAACACCGATACATCTTTTTCGTGTCCAGCTTGGCCTTGCAGCGCTGCGGCAATCCTTGGCCACGCATTGTTGAGCAGTGCAGTCGCTGCAGTGTGGGGCTGCACCCACTTGGATCTGGTCTATGGCAGCGTCTTCCAAGTGCACTAGTCCCAGCTGATCTGCATGGACCTTTGCAAAGAAATCAATACATCCCAAACGTCATGTTTGACCGCAACACTTTCGCACCTCTTCGGATATCGATTTGGATGGAGCACTGAAGGCCATCCAATGGCACAAATTTGTTTTGCACATGTAATTAGTGGTTTCAAGGTATAAGGGGGGCGACATATCGACCAACATTGCCTCTGCGAACTTGCTCAAGCTCAAGCGCACGTGCGGGTGCAAAAGGTTGTATGCGTAGACTGGACCATCTGAGCAAGAAGCGGTCCTGACGAGGATGGCCCATGGACCCCAAACTCAAGGAGCTGGCAAGAGTTTTCTGCGTCTTACCAGATCAGACCATGTTCACCCCCTTGCTGAGCCGTGGGCAAGGAATTGATTGCCGGGGGGCGGTTACCCAATCTTTGGCTGCCACTCTGGCATAGAGGCAGGACAGTAACTACTCCAAATCACGCTGGTGCATGTTGAAAATGCCTCATGCACGAAGCCAGGACAAAGGCCCTGAGTGAAAAATGTGACGAATGCTTAACATCATCCCACCCGCCAAGTGAAGAAATAAATAAGATCAGTGTTGTCAACAAAGGTTTATAACCAGCGCATACAAGCGCCTTGACAGAATGAATACCTTTCGCCAGGTCTCAATACCAAGGCTGAAAGGCAAAGGCAGCCGACCACCCAGCGCCCACGGTCCAAAGAATGCAGCGGGTGGTCCATTCTCTGGAAAAATGCTGGGGCGATGCCTGGGCAGGCTGGCAGAGCAGGGTGAGGGTTGTTTGTTCATATTGTTTCAGAAAGCATTGACATGACATCATACTGAGTTAAGATAGCCAAGATTGATGTCAACAGGGAACATGTACGAACATGTTGTTGCACGTTCGTTTTCGATCCGACAGTTGCGATACCTGCTCGGAATGCCAGGATCAGCGCAGCGCTGATAGCCACAAGCTGGAAGCGTTCCCCAAGGAACTCCAGAAAGAAGTACTGCATCACACACAAGATGATGGCGGGCAGAACCGCACCCGACATGAGAAGCAGGTTCTGATCGAAGGTCAAGGCAAGGCGTGACATGGCGGTCACATCCATCGTGGCAAGTCGTGTCTCGGCCATCGGCTCTTTGTCCGAATTCTTTGTCCGATCTAAGCAACGCAGGCTGGCACCTTCAGCCAAACATTAGTAGAGTCAAATTCACTTCCTCCGCTATTATTTTCCTGTGGTTGCTTCACATTCTGTTGCATGTGAAGGGGTGGTTCAGTGTCCCCTAATAACTCTTGTGCGAAAGAAGGACTTTTGTTTGTCCTCACGGAGGAAAATGTCCAACTCCACCTCGCAGTTGTCCTTCTCCGAAGCCCTAGCGGTCAAGGATTCTCGACTAAAACAAGTGAACCCTAGCAGGACTTGCCGACCCCAAAGTGGGAAATGGGACAGGAGCACCAACAGGGTTGACATTCCTCGTGCGTTGATGCTCACTTGCATTCGATCGCTTTCATCATCTGAGTCAATATGGACCTGACCAGCCCTGCAAGCCCTGCTCGCCATTGCCTGAGCCCCACATGGACAACATCTGTGATTTTCCAGCCTTGGCAGCTCATGCTGGTCAGGCTGTCCCAGGTTTACACCGTTCTGAAAGTTTCTGGCACAACATAGGGTTCCCGGGAGGGTTTTCGGATGCGCCATCAATGTATTTTTCCTCGCTATTTTGCACATGTAGATGGCACATTTATAGGGAGAGGGGGGGTGCAAAAATGCAAACACAAGAAAAAATGAGCTTGCAAAAACAGGTGAAAAAAAACACGCTATAGATGGCACAATGCTACTCTTTCTCCTGCCGTTCCTTTCTCTTTCTCTTTCTCTCTCTGCACAAAAAGATTCAGCTAATGTAATTCTGCTTCTGCTTTCTACAGTAACTGGAGTCTCTTGCTTCCTAGCTCTTGCACATGCTGCCAGCATGTAATTTTTCCCAAATCCCAGCGTTTGACGCCAGATACAACAGCTGCAGGAATCTGTACATTGACGGAGCTTTGTAAATGGCGGTACGAGCAGCCGGTGATGCCACACTACAACAACTTTCTTCTATCATCCATAATTTGGGATTCAGTATTGTACTTGTGGGCTGGGTGCTTGGGTTTGTTTGTGTGTTCACTCTGGTTGAAAATGCAAACAAATGATATGTTAGGTCTGGAGGGTCTTTTAGTGGCATTGTGCTCCTATATACTATTTGCAGTATTCCAAATTCTTCCACGCCAAGAGGCCTCAGGATTCTGTACACTTAGCTGAGAGGCCTACCGATGGAAGTATGTGGACCAAACCTCAAACATCCAACTAACAAAAAGAAAGAACACACGACAATTGATGGCGCAATATCAAGACCATTTACAAGACTGGATAGGTCCAGGCTGTCCCAGGTTTACAGTACGTCAAAGTCATACAGTCATACAGGTTGGTGGAACCAGATCTGGGGAAGAAGGTCTACGTTCACCATGTTGACCTGTCTACCATTGTCTACCTAACACAATAGGGACAGTAACTGGTAACAGGTCCTTGCCCCCCCTAGTCCATACATTTTTTTTCCGATGAACCGACAAATGGGATTCATCAGCCCACCGTTTCAGATGCGCCTTTTCCCGCGCCGTTCCGATCATCGACAGGCTGTGCCACACATGCCACGGTCTGAGGATGTCTCAGGCTGCCGACCGACGGCACCGCACCGCCCCCCCGTCGACTGGACGCCCCCCACGGCCGCCACGGCGAAAGAGCAACATGGGATGATCGAAGGCGGCCTGGGCGTTCCCAGACGGATCGCAAACGGACGACCAGACGGTCAGGATGACCAGGGCCTTCGGAAATAGGGATTGTTGGGTGATCCACCGAAAGGACCCCGGGCCCCGTGATTCTTTAGATCAGCTCTCTCGAAAGATGCTTGTTTTCCATGTGCGACCTTTTCGAGAACTCACAATGTATTTCCCAAAAGCGGCCCTTCACCAGAACCTGATAGGGGCCCGCTTCTAAATCTCCTTGTAGTTCAAGCACGTTATCCAATGCCACCCATTCTCTGCTTGGTTGATTCAGATTCCAGAACCATCAACAATGGTGTACTGTGGGAGACCCAACATGTTCGGCAGGTCTTTCGCAGCAATGAGACAGATCTGCTTTATGTGTTCGCAAATATATGATCCTACCTACTAGTTGGAATTGTTTTGCAGCATTTAATTATCGTCTTTGGACGCAAGTCAAAACATGCGGTGCTTGAATTGGATATTCTTGAAATTCTGAAGGTGGTGTGCAACCAAGCTGGAAGCTTGGTTCGCGAGAAGACATGAACTTTCGCTGGCTCCTCTCCTAATCTTCCATGGACCTCCTAATAAGACTCTGTGAAGCATGTCAAACCTTAAAACTTCTCAGTTGGACTCAGACAATTGGCTTGAGATGAGGTGGTAGTCCTAAGATGAAACCATGGCGATGGCTGTAAAAATCCACTCTGCCATTGATAGTATCAATTCATGAAATCCACAAGTAGCAGCTACTTGCAAGTGGCTGCAAGTGGCTGCAAGTGGCTGCAAGTGACTGCAAAATGGAAACTCAAAATGCGCACCTCCTGCGACCTCAATAACAAGAAGCTACTAGGAACAAGTGCCTTACTAGTAGTAACAGGTGCCTTACTAGTAGTAACAAGAAGCTAGTAAAAACTGTCCTTCAGTTCTCCTCTGTCTAAGACGTCGGAAAGAGTCCCATCCATGAACCCCCGTGTAATGGAAGCGCTTAGCACCCGCCACTGCCTCCATCTTTGCTAGGTCAGCACTTAAAGCCTCTAGGTCCTGAGCCAGTGGATGAGTCTGAAGTATGAGGATGTCAGGGGTAGAGGTCAGCAGCCACAATCCAAATCCTGTGGGATGTTCATTCAGTTTCAGTTTCACGTTGAATGTCTAAATTGAGAAAAGAAAAATGCCTTTTCTTTGTTTCAGTAGGCTGCCACCGTTCAGAGCAGGCGGCCCGTCTGCTAAAGGGTGGTCATGCTTTCGGAGACCGTTTAGCGCAAAACATGCGAGTTGTTTAGCTGCTTTAAATAAATACATGAATTGTTGTCCAACGATTGCCAAAAATTCATTGCAACAAACCTGCAAATTCTGGAAAACCTAGAGCCCAGTTAGGATTACCAGTGCGAGCCAAGCCCTAATAGCCTAATAGCGAGAATTGACGCAACTGTCGCCAATTTATAAAGCCTTGCTGGGCTAGCGTTCTCACTGCACCAAAGGAAGTGCAAAACAAGAATGCGAGAAGCTGTCATGACTCCTGCAAGCTCTGTTGCACAAACTCTAAGGTGACATCCAGACAATGGATC